ATATAATTTATTTTTAAATTAAAAGAATTAGATCCATTTTATTTTAGGTCATGTAGATCTACAACTATTTGGTAAACTTCTTACAAACCATTCTAGAAAATTAACCCTTAAAGATTGCGCCGAACAAAGGAATGACATAATAATAAAGACAAGACTTGGAATACTGGAAAAAACGGAGACAGAGATTAAAAGACAGTTAAAATTATAAAATATAATTTATAAAAATAATAATATGTCTAATAATAATTACATTTTTTTCAAAAGTGTTTAAAAATTACTTAAAATGTTAAAAAAAAAACTGTCAAAATGAATACTTCTTAGCGACTCTAAAATGTCTAATTCTTTTCAAATAAACACCGGTTACTTACATTTTATACAATATTACTTTTATTTATACGAATAAAGAGAAATTACTATAATTTTAGTAGTAATTTAAAAAGAGATAAATTTTAGCTATTATTCAATAAGGACTGTATTTGACCAACGAGTACTTGAAGGAGGTTAGTTATCAGCTAAATTAACGTTATTTGTTCCTATCGGCTCAGTACTCAATAATTTGTATTTACTGTTATACATATTTATATATATAGACAAACTGTCCCGACCCGGTGTTGCCCGTGTATTAGAATAGACACACAATCAGCTGATCGGATCACTGTATCTCTGTGGTATGAAAAACCATAGAGATGTGTTGATAACTATTGATACTATTGATAATCATAACTAGTCATTTTAATTAATTAAAAATTAAAAAAATGTTCTATCGGATCAAATTGTGAATCTAAATCATTCTCGAATTAACTTAATACGCACACAAAATTTCATAAAAATCTGTCCAGTCGTTTAGAAGGAGTTTGCATACTTATACACGCACAGAAGAAATATATATATAAAGATATTAGGGTGCTCCTTAGAAAGTAGATTTTCGAATTTTAACCAAAAAATAGCGCGTTCTTTTTCACAAAGAGATGGGGTTATTCTACCTTTTTTATTAAAGAATAAAATTTCGACTTAAAAATCTAGAGGACACCCGATAGCCGGGTGGTGCCCAGATAATATGATGGGGACGGCAGATGACGTTATGTGATGGTAATAGTACTGTCAAAAATATTCGTTTTGCTAGGTTAGTGATTTAAAATTATTTCATCACCGTTAACTTTATTTTGAACATCGTGTTATTGACCTGTACAATAAATGATATTCATTTTTTATTAATTTAAAAATTATTTTAAATAGAGCTTGTATTACATTAAAAAAATGACTCAAGAAAAAATAATTTCAAATTTGCAATCGGGAGAAAAAATCTTGTTGAATTGACATGTAACATGATTTTTTGATATCTGGCCACACTTGCGTCCACCGAGTGGCCATTTAATGGCCGGCGTGTGACCAAAACCAACATAAGGCATGTGAGACATCATTTTGGGTTAGAATTTTATTCTCAACTCAGTGGTGTCCTTAGAAGTATTTTATGTTAAGTGGTGTGTCGCATGCCATATGTTGGTTTTAGCCACATGCCGGCCACCCTATAGACGTATGTGTGGCCAGATACCAAAAAATCATGTTACATACTAATTAAAAAAAAAATACAATTGATTGTACCCATAGAGCATCCTGAATGTCTCATTTGAAGCTCGGTAGAACTTTACATTATACCCTGTATATACAGGATGGCCCACAATGATTTGACAAATAAAATAACTTTTGTATTAGTGAATATTTTTGAGATTTATTTTTTTAAAATAATTTATACTCATTTGCGCTATAAGCACCACGGGTTTTAATGCACTTATCGTAAGAATTTGTGAAAAAAATTGGTATTTTTTTTCACATTGACATTAAAAGTCGGTGGACATTTTTCAAATAATTAGAGGTCTCATTTTAGGTCAACTCAAACAAATAAGTCCACTGGACATCAAAATGCCAAGGGTTGTATATTTATATACAGGGCGAATCGACTCAATAATGAGAAGACTATATTGTATACTTACATGTATAAATCATTTTAAGTTTAATAAAGTGAAGTTTTCGCAAATTGGCGCATGTGTTTCAAAAGTGACGCCAAGTTCAAAAGTAAATAAACATTTTTAAATATGATTTTTTACTAAAATCTTGTTTATCGCATTCTCGCCTTACTGAAAACCAATTTTTTACTTCAGAAAAACACTTGTGTGATTCGATGTGCATTTTCATTTCCAATGTTTACATAAATGAAAATATAGTGATCGTTAAAATAAAAGAAGTTTCTATACGCTCAAAAGACTGTAAACATTATTTAGATACATATATCGATCGTACGTTTTAATAATTTGCATTTAATATCGACAAATACTGAGTCTTTAGAATTTCATGGCCTATCTATATTGAAGCAGTGAACAATATAGTAAAATATTTATAACTACAAGTATAGGAAAAAAATTATTATCCACATATTCATATTTTCCGAGAAATTGAGTGTCTACAACAGATAGATCACGCTGTATAAGCTAATGAGTTATTAGAAAAAAAACGTATACGTTTCAAAAAGCTTTACAATTATTACAACGAGTACAATCTTAGTAAGACAATTTGTAAGCAAAATTATTGGCGGATAATATATAAATATACACCACTTTTAGTAGAATAAGCACCCATAACACTAGTCACCATTATTATACATAACAAATCTGCATGGTGTTGTTGGAGCCCAATGCAGTTAAATTTGTACCTATAGTTTTTGATTCGAAAACTGATGTAATATTATTAGGTTTGGATTTGACATTTTTGTTAGTAGAGAATAAATGTAATTTTGTAAAATAACGTATTTTTTATGCTCGTAAACTAGTTACATTTTTTTCATTTATTTCTGGAACGGCTTACTCGAGTAGCATTAAGTTGTTAATCAGAAATAATTATAATATTGTAAAATGTGTATTTGTCGGTAAAATTGATTTTTTCTAACAATTTTTTCTACTCGAGCACGTAGATGTATGGTTTTATCGAATTGTTTGTCTTTACAACATGACGATTCGATAACAGCACAACAACAGTATGTGTGTTTTTTTTGCCCGTACAAAAAAATGGAACGTCGACTAACACCTAAGAAAACAATTATTACCCTTCGCGCGTGTCCCGGCATGTGAAATTTATGTTACAAAAAAACTTTTATTCGTAGACTCTTTGAACAACCGAATGTATTTCAACCGTATTTCTTAAATATTAAATTTTTCTAAAAAAATATATACAAAACACCTACGCATAACTATATAACAGAGACAACACTTGCAATACCAATATGTGCTTAAAACTGTACTTTGAGTATTAGGGTGGATGCGATTAGGGTTGGTCGTATGTCTGTAATACATTGTAGTCGGTTTTTTTCCTTCATTGTATTAACTGTTAATTGTTAGCAATAATTCAACATTTTTTTTAGATACCTGTTGACTCGTTTAGGTTTTTTCTTAATAAAATATAGTTTGACCACAAACTTGTGAGATATTCGTATATCGTGTTATAGCTCCACTCTAGATTTACCTGTAGTCTAATTTTCAGACCCTAAGCCCTGAAACTAGCTAAAAAAGTGAAATAAAGAAAAAATCTCTTTCCGTTATGAAGAAAAGGTTAAAAAAATGTTTTTGGTTTGTCAACGGTTTGAAGGGGAAGGCGGGAACTTTTTAAATTTTTGGTCAAATAAAGTACCTTTCATGTACGAACTGCTCCTAATTGAAGAAAGCTGTTTAGTGATTTGTAATATAATATATCGGAATTATATGCTGACAATCTGTTCATAGTTTTGTGAAAGTTCGAAGCCATGGACGTTCACCATATCTATGTCGGAAATCAGCCTCAAAGCGAAGTCTTGGCACAAGTTTAAAACTATTGGTGAATAGGGGAATCTTGTGCACAGCCCAAAGTAGTATAATACAGCCAGTTGTAAAACCTTTTGATAGAAAAGGTTTTCCTAAGAAAATTTGCCTTTCGGTAGCTAGGGATAGTTACAAACACACATGAGATTGTGTGACGTTTCCACCTCTTTTCCACATTTTTTGCATATGGGGGTTTTTGTAACTCCCAAAGTATGTAGCCGTTTGAGTATATGCCCGTGGCCTGATTATAGTCCATCTAACAAGCTCATTTAGACTCTGTTTATATATTATTAAGATCCTTTAGTAACATACCGGGATGCTTGATGAACATCTTTAATTATCTATGTACTACTTCTGGTTCGTCCGAGCGCTGAATGGTCATTATAATAACATAACGTGCACTATAGTCGGTTCTTAGCAGTTATTTTGTTTTAATTGAATAATTAAATTATTATTAAGTTATTTTATTTTTTTAATTTTAATTTATTTTATTATTTCTTCCAATCATTATATTTTACTTTGTTAGGTTATATTATAATCATAACCTCTTTATATATCAATCTTACTTTAAGTGTCATTTGACAAATCTGTTTTAAAGTTTGTAATTCATTTATTTATCTATGTATTATCTAAATTGTTTTATGTTTTGTCGTAGCAACGTCATTTTTGTACAAAATATATATTTTATTTAAATTTACATGTTTACTGTTAATGCCAAAACAGTATTGGTTTATTTAGATAAAGTGGTCGCATGCCATGACAAAATGTCTTGAAATTAACTTTGAAAAATCGGTTAAAATTTTGCCTAAGGGTTTTTTTTTATTTTAGAAATGCTAATTTACAATAAGCAATTAACATTTTAGATTCCAAGTGGAGCATAATGGGTGCAATATCAATCAACCTAGCTTCATTGATATGTTTTTACCTTTTATAATTTATGAACCATTGGACTTAATTCGAAATTAGCTTACCAACAGTGTTCGAACATTTTTACGAAGCATACGAATTCCAAATGTTTAAAATAATATTTTTACATTATAAGTGAGACTAGTTACAAAACAAAAGTCACTGGTTTTGTCCACGGGATTGAACCGTGGACTGATTTACTGGTATTGGGTAATAATACTTAAAAGTAATACAATAACTACTAACGAATTATTAGAGCATAATATTTTATTGATAAATCAAATCTACATTTTTATGTGAATATGTGATAAACTAAATACGTGCAGTTTTTCAATAACAGTTTTTATTAAAATCAAACTAATCGTCGAAATAAGTATTAAAGACGATTTGTAAAACACTTTCCTTACTGAGTCTTGTTTCTAAAAACACAAAACATTACACAATTTAAAAAAAAAACAAATCAGACCAAAAAGTTTAAAACAACAATGTCACACTAGAAAAACATCATTGTTTCAAAAAATTTTAGAATAATAATGTAATATTAAATTATACGATATTAGTGAAATAACTTGTAGGTATCTTACATTTGGCGAATTTTTTTTTGTACAACATCATAAAAAGGTGCCCCGTTTTTTTAATTTGTTAGTTATTGAATATAATCATATTATTATATTACTTTTATATTCCTTGTCGAATTCTTCATAAGTGGGGCATGGCATATGCAAGGGCGTTCTTTCTCTTACTCTATTGAAAATGATATTGAAATCTTCATATTGTTTGAGATCATGATTTTCATATGTCTCGATCACGTCCCTTACTGCTTCCTATTGTTAGAGGAGTTATAATTAGACATTAAATAGTGTATAACAATTTTGTAATAAAACTAATTGTTCTTAAGCGAAATAAAAACTGCGACACATAATATAATATGCCTTATGGTGTTTTCTGCGTAAAAACATACACAACAAATCCATATAATAGGGAAAAAATCGGACGAATAGTTTTTAAATTTAAATTATACCTTTCTGTACCGCGCACTGGAAGAAATAGTTCTTCTATTTATTATTTATTTTATTTGTGAAATAAACAATAATAAAATCATTTAGTATGGAAATCGTATCGTTTTACTGTTGGGAAGTATGTATAAAATTTTTGATTGATTAGAAAGACAATATCGTTCGTGATCCGAAAAGATAAAAATATGAAAAAATAACTAAAAGTGAATAAATCGCTTTAATCACTTCGACGGTAAAACATAAGATTAAGTAACTAAACTATAATTTACATTTAGTACCTACATCGTCGTCGCCGCCAAAAAACCTTCTGTGCTAATTTTACGATTTTTATGTTTCTATACCCCTTTATACAGAAAAAATAAGCTATCATATGATAAAATCTCCAACGTGCTGTCTTCATTGTAGAATGAATGAAAAAAAAACCTCCTATGTGTTACCTACTATAAATCGTTTTACACGTTTTAATGTCTCCTGAACAATTAGGTTTTAGTACATGGGAGTTTTTCTCACGGCAACGACGTTGTAACAGCGCAATGCTGAGAATTTGTAATAGTCATAAACACTATGTACTTGTTGAAGTCATAAGAACTAAACCTATTTTACTAAAGAGAATTGAAGTTTGAATATTTTGAATTACCCACACCAATCACCTAACTAGCCTTTTTTCTTTAATGTAGAATAATAGTTATTATATTTACATGTACTTCCGGGTTCTGTGTAGAAGCGTATGCTAGGGCGTAGACTACAGCTTTCGACATTGAAAATACCATATCTAGAAGTACAAAATATTATACATTTTTTAAACAAACGAATCACGACAAATGAGTTAAGAAAAACAATTTGTTATGTGAAGAAACTTTTTGGTTTAAGATAATTGTAGTTTATAGAACAATAATATATTATTAAATTATATAAAATTTTTTTTTTTTTTAATTGTTCTTAAATTTCATATTTTGCTAATTCACGGTTTTCTCAACGTTTTATCAGGTTTAAAAGTTATACAAATGCTACACTCGATTGTTTAAATGTCTTTTTATATGTTTTTGAACATTTTACTCAACATAATTAAAGAATATTTTTCTATTTTTAATTACTTGGTGTTATATATTTTTGAAATATATCTATACTGAGGATCTCTTTGCTTATACCGAAAACATCTGCTACTCTTCGACATACAGACATAAATGTAGCAAAGTCCATGAAGCCATTTTCTCCCATAGTTTCCGCGATTAGGCGTGTAATATAGTACTATAGTTTTTAGAATAAGAAATAAATTGTAAAATGTATATTATAATTACACATTAAAGTAAAGTTTCACTGGTAAAAAATCAAAACTCCAAATTAACAGTTATGATATAATATTCTTTGAGAATTTTTTTTCAGCATAATTAAAATGAAATTTCAAAGTAGTAAGGCATTTTTTCTTATTGTTTATAAGTAAAAAAATACTTTATAAAAGTATTCGAAACGAAAACGTTGATGGTAAGAACATTAAATACATTAACTAAACAATATAATATATGTTATGTTACAGTAGCCAAGCCTGCACAAATAACTAATAATTTTTGTAATAAAATATACCTAATAGATATTAATAATTTTAACTTTATATTAATATGTAATATAATTGTATACATTTGGTGTCATAATAAATAATAATAATATAAATTTGTGACTTAATGTTTAATCACAGTACACATTCTTTTAATACCTAAAAAAAATAAAAATAGCATAAAGCAAAGGGAAAAATATCATACAATTGGTGAATAAATGAAATTTCAGATTTTTACTTCCACTGAATGTTTATTCTAAAATTTATTCAAACTCATTTGTAAAAGCCTGATATACAAAAATTAGTCGAGATTCGACCAAACTATTATTTGTTTAACCTAGGTTTTACCGCAACTTACCCTGCATGTCTGTTACAATAAAAAGAATGTTCTCAAATTTATTTGGTTTTTTAGCTTCGATGCAAAGCGAGAAGGTATTGGTTTTACTCTGATGTGGGCTTTTTTTTTCGCTGTATACACTGTAACTTTTTTAATACTAGACCAATTCCTTCGAATAGCAACTCTATAAATCACAAATTTTGTACTAGTTAGTACTTTGGGGGGGGGGTAAAAGTTGAAACAAATTAATTCTTCACAGACGAAAGTTGAAAAAACCAGTACAGTGGGGTCGGGGCATAGTGAGGACGGAGCATAGTTGGGTCGGGGCATAGTGGTGACGGGGAGGTCACAGGTTTACAGTAATTTTTAAATCTGAAAGTGATAAAATCACTTTCGAAAAAACGCTTCGATGCGAATCGGTAGTTAGTATTTTCAAGCCAGTACAGTCCAAACCAAGCGCAGTATAAACCAGCAAAGTTAGAAAGTTTTAAATGAAGGTTCTGTATTTACAAATGAGCATCAAAGCGTTAATTTGAAAGTGATTTTATCCGAGAGGACTAGTACAATAGAGTATAGGCATAATGTAATCAAAGCAATGAGGAAACGGAGAGGTCACAGGTCTACAAGAATTATTATAAATAAAAGTGATAAAATTGAATAAAATCGCTTTCAAATAAACGCTTTGATGCTCATTTGTAAATACAGAACCTTCATTTAAAACTTTCTAACTTTGCTGGTTTATACTGTGCTTGGTTTGGACTGTACTGGCTTGAAAATACTAACTACCGATTTGCATCGAAGCGTTTTTTCGAAAGTGATTTTATCACTTTCAGATTTAAAAATTCCTGTAAACCTGTAACCTCCCCGTCACCACTATGCCCCGACCCCACTGTACTGGTTTTTTAAAATTTTTTTTTAAATATTTTGCCCATGTTTCGTGTTAAGTGTTTTAGGTTTAGTTCTTCTTTTTCATCTTTTTTTTTTATATTATTTTAGGCTATCAACATGTTTTATTAATAATCAATTTCTTATTTAAAATAATCTAACTTCCAGAAAAAAAATATTGATTTTTTTTGAGTAGCAGTCAATAAAATTAAGATAATTATCTAAAAAAAATTTAATTTATGTGTAAAAAAAAATATTTTTCCGTTTTTTTAAAAAACCAACTTTTTAGATAATCAAATAAATTTCAATGATTTTCTGTTACTGAAAAAAATTATTAATTTTTCAAAAAGCTGAGGTTTTTTTACATTAGAAACTGTTTTTTAATTATTTTTTTATGGTTGAAGATACTATAAAAAAAAATTAAGCAGTGAAAAAGAAAAACTCTAAAATTACTTTATACGACCATTGCCAAAATAATAAAAAAGAACCGAAAAAAATTGAGAATATTCATTTAATCGTAACAGACATGCAGCATAAGTTTTATTTAAAAAAAAAATGAGGCAATAATATTTTATTTGAATTCTCTTTTTTTGTGTCAAAAACTGGAAGAAATTATTCGGAAAAGTTTCTTCTATTTATTATTTTTTTTATATTTAAAAAACTGGCAAAATCATTTTAGCATGAAAATCGCATCGTTTTACTGTTCGGGATTATGTATACATTTTTTGGTTTTAGAGAATAAAAATATCGTTCGAGATTCGAAAAGATAAAAAAAAAAAAATGGAAAAAATGACTAAAAGTGAAGAAATAATTTCAAAACACTTCAATGCGAAAATGATGACGGTAAAAACATAAGGTTAAGTTACTAAACTATAATTTTCATTCGGTATATAACAGCATAAAGCTGAGAATTTTTAATAAGCAAAAATACTATGTACTTGTTATAGTTATAATAATTAAACTTATTTCACAAAAAATAATTAAAGTTTGATTATTTCGAAAATCACCACACAAATACCCTAACGAGAATTTTATCTGTAATACAGTGTAATAGTTTTTATTTACATTTGTTATGGGTTTTGCTCTAGATATATACGATAGCATGCTGATTTCTACTTCATCATTTGTTAGTGATAATTCTGAAAGTAAAAAGTATGGTACATCATTTATACAACCAAATCAGTCAAATTTAACAGCAAAAGAATATTACCGTGTGTTTTAATTATTGCAAACATTTGTATTTTAAGGTATTGTAATTTAAGAATAATGACGCCATAAAACATTATACATATCACATATTCTACTTTTTTTTTGTGCATCATTATAAAAAGGTTCCTTGTTTTTTATATTTTTTATTTGGTTGGCAAGTTATGATTTTTTAGTATAAAAAAATTAATTAATTTACAGCTGGATGATTAACAAACTCGATTGTTGAAACGTCTTTTCAATAGTTTTCGATAATTTTTCTCAACATATTTATTCAATATTTTCTATTGTATATTACTTATTTTGATGTCTTCAACACTGGGTATATTCATACGTTGCCCGACTATATTTCCTACTTCGGATAATATTACTAACAGCTGCTCAAAGTCCATCAAGTCATCTTCTCCCAAGTGTGACCTGATTAATTGTTTAATCTCATTCTATAATTTTCAGAGTAATAAATAAACATTAAAATGTATACCCATTATTCTGTGCCTTCTTTAGCCAAATTAAAATGCCAAAATACTAGACATATAATATGGTTTACGGATTTTTTCGACATATAACATTAATTTCTAATTAGTTACGGCATTTTTTTCGTTATTGTTTTTAATTGAAAAAGTCACTTAAAAAACTCTTCGAAGAGAAAATGATAATTGTAAGAACATTAAATACATTTTCGAAACAATATATTATTAATTAAATTGTTGGCGCAAGATTTTTTTTTTTTTAGTTTAAATAATAATTATTCGTCAGTCGTTCGAAAATATTATTCGAAAAAAAATATTATTTAGATAAAAAATTATCTAAACAATGCCCATTTCTGTATATAGTTAAAAAAGAATCTCACCGTTATATCTCGATCATAAATAATAATAAGTGCTCGTTTACTTACAAGCTGTTCATCAGTTGGGGGAACACCCTGACAATGGAAAAAGCATAACGACACGCAGAAAAACAGTATATTTTTCAAATGCATGTTAACTTATCAAAAAATAATCTCGGATTCAAAATATTTAATTATTTGTATTGGAAATAAAAACTGTTTTGAAACTATTCGATAATAGTACTTAAGACGATTTTATGATGTAATGTTAGTATTGTACTGCAGTACCTTCAACAAGAAAATATACTTTAGGAATGAACACTGCTTTGAGTTTGTTAGTACTGAGTGGTACGACATGCAGCAAACGATAAATATTAAAGAGCGTTTTTATTTGCGCTGCATGTCATTTTAGTACACGCACTCTCCCACTGTTATATTTTAGAATATATTATATTGTCAACTTTTTTCGATAGTGTACTCTCTGAAGAATATTTCATGCATTTCATCTTTTTTAAACAAAAATTTTAAAATATGTAATACTTTTGTTGGTTTTTTTTCGATTTGAAATGGGAAAGGATAAACTTGGTCAAATTATATTCCTTCCAGGTCCGATATCTGATCTTTTGACTTGTTGCCTAAAAAAACTCACTGGATTTACTGGTTTAAAAAATTATAAGCTAAAACACAAAAAAAAGAGTTTAAAAAAAAAACCCACCATGAAAAACAATACTTTCTCAGCTCCGTATCGAGGCTGAACATAATACAAAATATTTAAATTCTTCTCAATTAAATCAAAGAAATCAAGTTAGGACGGGAAAAGAGGAGCTGTTGGGAAATGCGCGCAGATAAAATAAAAAATACACTCCACCTTTCCTCCTGCCCTAAACTTGAAACTTCAAAAATCGTTATCCGAAACTGGTTATCGACCAGTCAAAATGTTTAGTACATTATTCTCAATTTAATGAGTTAATAAAATAATATATACGTTACCATTTAAGTTTCAAAAGTTGCTATCAAAAAAACTAAGTTGGGAGGGTGTAAAAAACAAAAAAAATTGAGATCACGTTTTATAAAAACATTCTATAAAAAAAAATTCAATTATTAATTAAACCCAGTGAGATATTGCCTGGTTAATTCTTCTTCCTCTGGCATGTCTACTCTCTAAGAGTTTTTGCTGCCATTACTACACCTCGCCACATATCTCTATCTTGGACTGCTTCTCTCCAATCCTCAACTCCAAGGGTTTTTAGATCTTCTTCCACCACGTCAACCCATATTTTCCTAGGTCTTCCTGTAGGTATTTTCTCTTGCGGTCTCCATTCCAATGCTACTCTAACTGTTTCGTTCTCCCCTCTTCTCATTATGCGACCTAACCACTGTATCCTTTGGCCCTTAATAAAGCTTGTTACTGGTGCTAGTTCCAACATATCGTACAGTTCTTTGTTATATCTTCTTCGCCAGTTTCCCGTTGTTTCATCGATGATAGGTCCACATCATGCTCTCAAATATTTAAAATCGCTAACTTTTTCATAAGTTAAGTCCTCCCAACTATCAATGAGTTCCATTGTATTTGTATTTTTAATTTTTTATATCAAGACTTATTTTCTTTGCCGATTCTTCTAACACTCTGGCCGCGTTAGCTGTGTGCAAGCGAATCACCTATTACGTCTAAATCGTCAGCGAAACCAAGGAGCCGTATTCTATTCTGACCAATTAATAAAACACCTTCATTGTCCTGTAGTATCCTGGTTAATTGCCAGATAAAAACACAAATATCAATAAAAGCATTGTACCTAATGACAATAATTATGTGTTTATACATTTTAGTACTCGTTGGATTCGATTAAGGTTGATCATCTGTCTATATAAATGTATTGTTATGGTAACCCATAATATATCGTAGTTAACAGTATAATTAAAATATTTTCATTACCTGTTTACTGCTGACTCACTCACACATAATAACCTAGAAATTTCAATCTTTTTCGCTAAGGGACGGGGGCTGTCAAAATTTCGGTTTTTCGATGTGCAATTTTGTTCATAAGACTTTTTATATTGAAAATGCTAACTGCTAAGGTTATAATAAATCGAAAATATTTTCGAAAAACATACAACTTCGGTACTTGTACACACACGAGAATGCTTTAGTACAGTTTTTTTCCCATCCATAAATATTCATAAATTTTAAGCAGAATAATACACCAATCTATCGACAAAACAAAATATAAAATTGTCAATGTTCAAATTTCTATATTAAAAATTTTTTTTTTTGTAGAGAGCTTAGTGGTTTGAGAATTCGAAATTCATAGCAAATCATCAGAAAATGTTTTTTTTTCAAATCGGATATACTATTTACATACGACTTGCGCACATAGACATTTTATTAATTTACAACTACTGCCTTTAAAAATCCGTAAAACATGTATGGCTATCGGGGGATATTCACAAAGGAAAAAAACCGAGCTGACTAAATGTGATAAAATCTCTTTTAAAAAATATAATTAAAACCAAAAACTGGTTACTTTTTGAGCACTCAAAACTTACTGGGACCACTATAAAAAGTATCCGTAAAAATATTGGCATGATTTGCTAAACATTTTTTTTTTACATTTGTAAAAAACACAGTTTTCCAAAAATTAAAAAAAAACTGTATTTGCCAATTCTTTCATCATCTAATATGTTATGGATACATATTCAATGCTGACAAATTTTTTCAACTAAAAGGTCCTAAAATTACGGCTAAAAACACAAAATACCTTGCACCTTTGAGCTGGCAAATGGATATAATTTAAATTTAGGGTAATGACGTAACTGATGACGTAAAAACCTACATCATAATGCAAATATATGTCAGATACCTGTTCAATGTTGATTCACCCTTACTCATTGCAACCTACAAACTTACAACCTTCATAATGTAATTTCCCTTTTAGTTTGGTTTTTCCTTAATATCTGTACAGATATTTAAGAAAATTGTATGTGACCCGTTATAGCCCATTCTAGGAAAACCAACTTTTTTTTTTAATAAGTCAAAACTTAACTATAGTACCTATAATTATTAATACATAATCAATCTCGAAAGTCTTTTCATATTCTTCTAAATGCCAGTAGTTAGAGGAAAAATGTACCGAGTTAAGCTTAACTTAAAAACAAATTATTCATCTTGTAGTCTATAAATGAGTAATGAAGAATACTATTGCGACTAGCCAAAAAATACTTGTTTTCACCTAGATGTACCCATTTGTCTTGTGGATTTTTTAACCTGTATAAATATGATATTCATATATATATATATATATATTTATATATATTTTAATGTAAGACAATGGCTGGATATTTATTACTGTAATTATTTTCTGCAAGTTTCTGGAAAAAAGTAAGAAATTTAAATTTTGAAAAAACTATAATTTACACTTTGTCCTAAAGTTTGGTTTTTTTGCGGTTTAAAAATCAAACAAAGCAAATACTATTACATTTAAAATGTCCATAGTGTTTAGAAAAAGTACCTAAATAGCAACAATTGTGATAAAAATTAATTAGGATTAGAGGAAAGAAAAACGGAAGAATTTAAGACAAAAGCATTATTCCAGTCATTAAAGCTCATTCACATATAAAAAAAAACTGTGCAAACTAATCACAAAAACAACTGCTAGTTGATAAAAATGTTTTTTTGAAAATAACGCGTAAAATTGTATTTTGGATATGGCCGCCGATAGTACATTTTATAAGTTAATAATATAAATAGGTATTGATAAAAGCACCGTAAAGACAATAATGTACTTAAAATTAGCCTACAGTTATTACATACAGTTAGTGCAAATTATATCGCACCCTAAGAGCAAGACTGTCACAACTCAAAAAATAAAGTTTTGAGGAAATACAACTAAAAGATTAGACATGCTCCCAAATGGTTAATTTTAACTTTTAAAGCTTTAGTTTTAATACTTCTCAGTTATTTGTGTTACCCGGTGATTGTGTTTTGTTTTTAAGCTAATTAGTTCTCTTAAAATCTCAGCAAGACAACACAATTTGAAGTTACGGCTATTTATCTATAGGTTTTTAACAAACTGAACTGCCAAATTTGATGTGGCATTTTTCTTTTTAAATTAATTTATTGCAACAAGACAAAATGTGGCAGTTTGCTATGATTTCACCGATGCCATTCGGTCGTTATTTGGTTATATTCGTTTCCTATGACTACATTTTGCGCATCGGTAAAGAAAACAAAATGATAAAACAAACACCTAATATTAATATACACGTGTACCTTCAAGTATATTACAAAAACATGTTATTCTAATATTTTCGATAAATCTAATTACACTAAAAAAATTGATTTATTCATTAAGTACAGGACGCTCGTTTTCTCTTAAAATAATAGCATTTTTGAAGTTTTCATAATTAGAGACACTTATGTTGGTGTTATTTTACAATATTATAAAACTACAAAAGTAAACTTACCTTTTATATTTATTTGTTCACGGCTCAGTGTTTTTACAGAAGCGTAGTTCCAGCAAAAAAAAAAAATAATATTTCACTTCAGCCTTCCTTGTGTCCTAAATTTACTAAGTTTATTAACTCCAAAACTGGTTAACGACCAGTTTACATATTTAGAAGATTATTCTCAGTTTAAATTGTAAATTGAATTCAAAAGTTACTATTTAAGTTTTAAAAAGTTGATAGGGTTATGGAAAATAATAAAAAAAAAAAAGGTTAATGTTTAGTATTTTTATAATATTGTAAAATATGATAGCAAAAAATGTTTTCATAATAGAAATAGCGGTACTAAAAAATGCAATTATTCTAAGACGTCTTATTATTATACAGGCGTCTTGTCGTTAATGTATCACCCTGTATATTTATATACGTATATTTTTTATATGCTTCACCCCTTGGGATTCTAATACCAGTGGATTTGTTTGGTTCGTCTTGGCCAAAAATGAGGCCCCTGATTTTTTTTAATTTATTTAAACTATGACGAAAACATTCGGTTTGAGTTTCCAATAAAAAAAGTTTTATAAATTTTAAAAATGCCTATTGCTTTGTGTTCCGCTCAATTTTAAAATATTTAAAATGACGGACACCATAAAGATGGTGGAAAATTTTCACACAAATTAGGGTTCTCGTCTTAGGCCAATACGAACCAGTAAGACATTAATGATATGACCACGAGATAGGTGTATACATTATTTGAATTGTTAAAGAGTGAGGTTTTTGTATAAATTAGCACACTAGTGCGTGCGTTTCAAAAGTAAAGAAAGATATAAAAATATGATTTTCTATGGAAGTATTATTTATCGAATTCTCGCCTAAATGTTAACTCGAAAACACAATTTTTATACTACAG